AGAAAATGATGTCTGAAGTTCAGTAAGTTTTGCTTAGGGGCGGACCATTTAATTTTTGAGAGGGGGGGGGGTTGGAAGATTCAGTCTGTGCAAGAATTTTTTTCCGCCCAGGGGAATAAGACAGATATTTTTTTTCTGTAAAAGTGCAGCGCAAGATATTTTTTTCCCAATATATTTCGCGGCAGGATATTTTTTTTGCCCCTCATAATAACTGCTTACAGTAACTTAAGGCTTTCATATAGCTATCGGACGTTAGCCAGGGTTTTCAGTCAGAGGAGGCCGAGCCTGAATCCCAAGAGGGGCCAAGGAATTTTCAGTGTGCTATATTTTATATGGTTATGTCTTAATGTTCCCCACACTAAAGCGTGCAGGTTTGCTTACAAAAAATGTATAACTGCACCAAAACCTAAAGCATGCAGGGATAGAGTAGAGTACTCGAAAATGTAGAGGTACAGTATGTGAATGACCTGTAACCTTGGCGGGTTCGGGGGCATGCTCCCTTGAGAAAATTTTAAAATTTGAACCTCGGAAATGCTATTTCCTGCGTTTTCAGCCATGGATTCGTCCAACAACTTTTCTGTATTAAGCCTAAGGAACACTTACTGTCCTTTATTTTAAACAAGGGGAAATCACAAAATGTGCTTTGATTAATATGTAATAAAACAAGATTTCAATAATGCGATTTTTAACTGCCCTCCGAAACAACAATGTTCCACCAGATATAGCTCTGTAGCTTTTCAATCGTTCATACAAATAGCTTGTTGGGGATCGGGTTGCATCCTCTTCAGAAATTTTTTAAAATCTAGACTCTCTAAGCTGGCATTTTCGCATTAAAATCATCGTATATACAGTACGTTCAACTTGCATCCTGTAGATGAGCCTTTGAAGCTTTAATAGTTTGGAGCTATGTTATCAAAAAACGCACACAGACTCAACCATCCAAAAATACTTTTTCTACCATGCATATTAGATATGTATAAATAACTTATAAACTTGTACATATCTTAAGCCCAGATTTTCTCAGGGGAGGGGACAATTTTGCCAGGGAACGCCACTGGCTATCGTATGTTATAGACTCCAAAGGCGGTAGAATCCCTATGATGTTGTCCACTGTTCACCAGTGTTCTTCAAAGCCTGCTCAAAAATGCAAAATCTTGCAAGCCTGTGGACACAATACTGAAGTGAAGAACTTCAGTAGATTTACATTTAGGAATTTTTTGAGCGCTTTCTTTTGTATGATATTTTTTCCCTCGTTTTATGCTGCATGATTTTTTTTTCTTTCTCCTTGGATTGCAGGAATTTTTTTTTCAAAATCTTCCAACCCCCCCCCCCCTCAAAAATCATATGGTCCGCCCCTTATACGGCTGTAAATATGGCGTCAATTTTAAAGCATCATTGATCATTGTATTTAAATTGACAATGTTTAACTATTATTTTATGTTTCTCAACCGGCAGATGCATTTAAAAAGGTAGCCAACTCTATAAACTAGATAATAAAGCCAAAACAAAGTAATTTTGAAAGGAACGCCAAAAATATTTTAGGTTTTGAACACTTTTCATTGCAAATACGTGACGTTGAAAAAAATTGCCTCTTAAAGAGATTAGTGTTTCGCGCAGTAAATAACGTGAACTATTCTGTGTCAAGACTGTTACAGTCAATTTCAGCTGACTTTTCATCGTAAGATTCCGAACTTCGTTCCGAACTTCACAAATTCGTTGCCAAGTTCAAAAGTTCATAATGAAATTCACAAACAGGTTTGTAAACTGGGCATTTCATTGGCTGGTTTGATTTAATAGCCAATCAGAGGCTTTGTTTACAAACCTGTTTGTGAATTTCATTATGAACTTTTGAACTTCGCAACGAATTTACGAAGTTCGGAACGAAGTTCGGAATCTTACGATGAAAAGTCAGCTGAAATTGACTGTAATTATTGACTTTACATCTAACCAGTTAGTGTACAAAGCATGAGGGGCGCTTCATAGAGGTCGAGGTTTAATAAGTATCATAAGGAGTTTAATAAATGAAGGATTTACGATATTCCTATCAAAAGTAATGATCTACCTTCCCAACCATCTTTTGTTCGGATATCGCGTCATCATGCATTCCCCACCAACATCAGCGAAATCCATGCTTGATTTTCCTCTCCTGTAAAAGATGCATTATAAAAATATAATATATAGTGTTCATGGTCCATTTATAAGCTCCATTACCAGAAATTTTGGACACAATGCGCCAACTTTATGAATACGTTATATGAAATTAAAAAAATATGGGATCATGCAGGCTGCATGAGCATGTATGCATGTGCCATCCAAAATTGTTCAGGTCGGTGAGTAGGTTTAACCCTCCATCCACGCTTAAAGGGATGCCGCCAATGACGTCATACCATCAATGACATCATAATCGGAAATACCCGCCTAATTATTAAGTATATGCACGTTTAAAGGAATACCGAATAGTTTTCCGTGCAGGAGTGCGTGATCTATGCACGAGAGATGTCGCGAGACTTTCGGGAAGCGTAAAAATACTCGAGCCGCATGCGAGTGTATTTTTACGCTTTCCGAAAGTCGAGCGACATCACAAGTGCATGGATCACGCTATCCTGCTCGGAAAACCATTTGGGATTTGTTTTATAAAATAACTACAGTGAAATTTTATTCTTTGAGACAATTAAAGAAAGCTGGTTTAACTCAACAGGATCTTCTTAAAATTTATTGCTCTTTCGTTAGGTCTTGTATTGAATATGCATCACCTGTGTGATCGGACTTAAAGGCCCTGTCACACTATTGCGTATCGTACTAGCGTATGCCAGCGCATGAAAAATATCACTCATACGCCGGCATACGCTGACATACGCTAGGGGTACGTTATAGGCATAGGTTGTATACGTTTTAAGCACAGTCGCGTACGGTGGCATACGCAGGCATACGGCAAGGCAGAAAAAAAAATTAAGCATGCTCAAAAATTTTGTGCATATCGGACTTAAGTTTTATACGATAAGCATACTGTAGGCACACGCTAAATAAGTTAGAGGTACGCCAGATATACGATACTCATACGCTGGCATTTCAAAGGATTTTTGTGCGTATAAAAATTATTTCATTAATTTTCATACGCTTCTCATACGTTTCTCTCATACGCAATAGTGTGACAGGGCCTTAACCCAAAATTTAACAAATTTAATTGAGTCTGTTCAAAAACGAGCATTGCGAATAATTCTTCCCTCTCTTGCTTACGAAGATGCTTTGACGCGGTCCGGTCTAGAAACTTTAGCAAGTCGCCGATCAAATGCTTGCCAGACTTTGTTGAGAAAATGAAGTCTGACGATCAACCAAATAACCCTATTGCTAACATTTTGAGGCATAACATTCATAATGAACGTAATCATAGTTATAATTTAAGACACGCTCGAGGGACTAAATAGAGTAAGGACACGTACAGAACGTTTCTCTCAGTTTATTACATGCAAATATTATTGATGTTTCTTAGTCATTGTAGGTTTTTCTTTTTTTAAACCTTTTATTTAATCTTGTTAATAGATAATTTTATATTTGTAATATTTCTAAAAGCTTATTGTCATCTCTAGTTTAAGTGTGTAATTCAGTTTTGTAACCGCAAAGCGTTTTATTAAACTATTTATTATTATCATTATTATCATTATTATCATTATTATCATTATTATCATTATTATCATTATTATTATTATTATCATTATTATCATTATTATCATTATTATCATCAACTGGGAATTGATTTCTGTTCCCCCTCTGACATATATAATCAATGTAAACTGACAGTGCGCAGAATCTTGAGGACTTCTGTCAACTCCGATATTCAACAGCTATATACCAAAACGTCATCAAAAAACATCGTCACTGATGATATTATTGAACGGGCGGCTGCTAGTATCTCTGAACAATATATGTTAAGAAACGCTGCAAAGAAGATTCTGGTAAAGAAAAACCTTAACGAAATTTGGTCAAACTTTGTAGAACTAAAAGAACAATCCGTGATCATTACCTGCTTAACTGATACTTGCTATAAGAAGATGATTAAAGTATGGCACGAAATTGTCACTCGAATGCCCAGCAATATAGTATGCTTTGCTAGGAGAGCGTTAATTTTAAGTTTAGGAAATAATTCTAACCTAAAGCGCTGGAACATTCGTGACTCCGCCAACTGTGAGCTGTGCAACAAGTTACAAACCCAGCTACACGTTTTTTCCAACTGCAAGGTAGCCCTAGAACAACAACGCTATACTTGGCGGCATGACTCGATTCTGATGACTATTATTCATCACTTAAAAGTCGCAGTTGGTGCAGATCTTCGACTGTTTGCTGACTGTCCTAATTCAGGTACGACCTGTACTTCAACTTTATTTCGAACGCTAAGACCTGATATAGTGGTGGATTTTAAGGGTTCTGTATATGTGGTTGAATTAACTGTTCCCTAGGAAACCAATTGTACGAAGGCTAAACGTCGCAAGAAAGAAAGATACAGACATCTAAGATCTGAGCTGATCACGGCGTGTTATGCGTTTGAAGTTATTACACTTGAAGTAACCACTCTAGGGTTTGTGTCGAAAGATATTGACAGATTTCGTAGATTATTACGAACACTTGAAATGAACGACGAACGTATTATTAAAAAATGTATGGAGGTAGCTCTGAGAGCAACATTCTACATTTACTGCAGAAGAAACAAGCCGTGGAATAATCCAGACTTACTGAATTTTTATTAGCTACTATTGATACAAAGTGTAGAGAATGGACCTATCTGTCTAACATAGTGAACTGTTTCTCTATTTTCCTGATTTAATTGAAAGTCTAATTATGTGATATATTTGTATAAATTATCATGTTATTAATAAAGATTTCTGTTGTTTAAAATTATCATTATTATCATTATTACCATTATTATCATTATTATCATTATTGTCCTGCGATATCGACCATCTTGAATAACACTTATAAGGCTCCTGTGAGGATGTTCGTTGCAGGAGGGGGAGAAATAGCTTCAATGGAAGGCACCACACAAGACGACCCGTTAGCCATGGCTATCTACGCATTAGCTATAACCCCACTAATCAAGAGATTAAAGGAACAAGCTCCCAATGCAAGTCAGGTTTGGTTCGCAGACGATTCCAGTGCAGCAGGAAGATTAAGAGCCCTCAAGGTTTGGTGGCAGCACTTAACAATACTTGGCCCCGAATTTGGCTACTTTTCTAACGCAAGCAAGACAACAATGGTAGTCAAAGAGGAGTTCTTTGATCAAGCGAAGGATTTATTTGAGGAAACTGGCATCAAGATTACCACTGATGGTCATAAAATACTTGGTGCTGCCTGCGGTAAACGTTCTTTTGTGGACGATTATGTAGCTGATAAGATAGACGAGTGGGAAGAAGAAATTGCTAAAATAGCTGAAACGTATCCACATGCTGCATATACCGCATTTACTCGTGCTATTGTGTGTAAATGGCAATATCTTATGCGAACGATTGATGGTATCGGTAGCATGTTTCAACCGTTGGAGAACGCTGTTTCGGCCAAACTCATTCCGGCTTTAACGGGCAGAGGACCTTGTTCCAGCGTAGAAAGAACAATACTCTCTTTGCCAACGCGTCATGGTGGGCTCAACCTTGTTAATCCTGTTGAAGTCGCGAATAGTCATTATAACGCATCATTAAAGATTACTGAACCTCTGAAGAAGATGATCGTTAGCCAAACGACAACTTATAAGAAAATTTATCTACACGACATAAAAGCCGATCTGCGAAGGCAAAAGAACCAGTACCACCAGCAACTAGCCACGGAGGTCAGAGAAAGCTTGTCCCCAATAAAGCAACGGACTTTGGATTTGTTGGAGCTGAAAGGTTCATCATCATGGTTATCTGCCCTACCACTGAAAGACCAAGGCTTCAGTCTAAACAAGGGCGAGTTTCGTGATGCTTTGAGCCTCAGGTACGGATGGCAACTGAAAAATCTTCCCCAATATTGCATATGTGGGACTAGTTTTTCGACCGATCATGCCATGATATGCCCACACGGAGGAATGACTATATCTCGTCATAACGAAATCCGTGATCTTACCGCTGATTGGATGAGTGAAGTATGCAGAGACGGAAACCGAACCACCATTGCAGCCCTTATCTGGAGAGATTATCCTTCCCCGTTCCGCGAATAAACGAGAAGATGCCCGGGTCGATATTAAGACTGTCGGACTTTGGGGACGGCAGCAAAGCGCATTTTTTGATGTTAGGGTTTTTCACCCCAACGCGCCAAGCTACCGTGACAAAAGTGTTGCAGCTTTATTCCAGAAACATGAACTAGATAAGAAGAGAGAATATGGCGATCGGATAAGGGAAGTTGAAAATGGTTCCTTTACACCACTGGTCTTTTCAACAACAGGAGGTGCCAGCGGAGAAACAACAGTGGTTTATAAAAGATTAGCGGAACTTTTGGCCAACAAACGGAAATCTCCTTACAATACCACATTAGCCTGGATGCGATGTCACATATCATTTGCTTTAATGAAATCAACTATATCCTGTATAAGAGGATCAAGAGTGCGTCGGCGCCGTCATACGGACATGGGAATAGCAACGGAGGTTGCTGAAAGTAATTTAATTATTAACCCTTGAACTTGGAATTTCATAACTAGATTAAATCATATACTACAATTAGGGTAATTGTTCACGGAACATGTTTCGTTCTTTCTTAAAATTAAGTTTTTAACATTCTTAGTTAGTTTTTTCCTTTTTAACTGTATTCCGTATTTTATCATTCTTTTCTTTGTTAATACATATATTACGTACTATTACTGATTATTACTATTATAGATTACTATTAATGGTATGGACCTAATAAATCATTATTATTATTATTATTATTATTATTATTATTATTATTATTATTTTTATTATTATTATTATTATTATTATTATTATTATTATTATTATTATTATTATTATTATTATTATTATTATTATTACAGATGCATATGATGAAATTACAACTTGGAGAAAGAATGTTTTTCTAGTGCCATACGGGAAAATAGGAAGGGATTTTATCGATCAAATAACGATGCATATAAACGACTGGAATAGCGGTTCGGAAAATCAACATGTTTCCCTAAAAGCTGTTTTTGTACTTCTCGCCGTTGGGCTTCAAAAGCCAAACCCGAAGTCCAAGGCAAAGGACCATCAAGATGCCTTGTCAAAGCGACTCGCACTTTGGAAGGACGGCGAGATCAGTAAGCTAATACGTGAGGGGCGAATCATACAAAGTCGTATTGGAAAATTTAAAGGATCAAACCACCCCGATAAAGCTAAAGTCTTTGCTAAGCTTGTGCTAGAAGGTCAAATCAACTCAGCCCTTCGCTTCGTGAGTGAAACCCCAAATGGCGGCGTGTTAACGTTAACTGACGATGTAATAACGCAATTAAAACAGAAGTATCCTGAGCCACAACCAGCAAAACTCGGATCGGTATTATTTGGCCCGCTCAATGACGAGATACGCGAATCTGTTTACTCACAGATCAATGATGAGATGGTTAGACAAGCCGCTTTGAGAACAAAGGGATCCGGAGGCCCGTCTGGTGTCGATGCTAACGGCTTTAGAAGAATGTTGGCATGTAAGCCCTTTAAGCAATCATCTACAAGACTGTACGACGCTATAGCCAGAATGACCAAGACTTTGTGCACACAATATATCGATCCTACCACTATTGAAGCATTGATTGCTAGTCGTTTAATTCCCCTAGACAAAGGCGAAGGTGCGGTAAGACCTATTGGAGTAGGAGACGTAATAAGGAGGATAAGTGCAAAATGTGTTATGAGCTTTGCAAAGAAGGATATTGTGGAAGCAAGTGGATCGTTATAATTATGCGCTGGACAAAAGTTTGGAAGTGAGGCTGCAATACATGCAATGAACACCCTGTTTGAAGCTAATGACATTGATGCTGTTTTACTTATCGATGCTTCTAATGCATTCAATGCACTCAACAGAACTGTGGCTCTGCATAACATCCGTGTGTTATGTCCGATAATCGCTGCCTACGCTATAAACACCTACAGACAGCCAGCTCGGCTGTTTATTGTTGGCGGCAAAAAGATTGCGTCAGGAGAAGGAACCGAACAAGGAGATCCTTTGGCAATGGCCTTTTATGCGATAAGTACCCTGCCTTTGATCACGAGCCTACAGGCCGCATCTACCGTGAAGCAGTGTTGGTTCGCAGACGATGCGAGTGGAGCTGGTCGTGTGACACAAATCAAAGATTGGTGGGATGCATTGAATACTCTTGGTCCAAACTTGGGATATTTTCCGAAAGATGAGAAATGCTGGATTATTGTTAAGCCCGAAAAGGAAGAAAGTGTGAGAGAAGTCTTCCATGGAACGGATATCAATGTAACAGTGCATGGGCAGAAACATCTGGGAGCAGCGCTAGGTTCACGAGAGTATCTGGAGAAATAGGTTAATGAGAAGGTCTCTAATTGGGTCAACCAAGTGACAGCATTAGCCGAATTTCCACTGTCCCAACCACAAGCGTCCTATGCCGCATACACATTTGGTTTGAAACATCGTTGGACCTACTTCCTAAGAACCCTGCCAGACATCCAGGACCTACTAGAGCCACTCGAAAAGGCAATATCGCAGATTCTCATCCCCGCTATCACAGATCACCAGTGCAATCCACTCGATCGGGACATTCTAGCACTTCCAGCACGTCTGGGTGGCCTGGGCTTGGAAAATCCAAGTCATGAGGCAGAACGTCAGTATGTGTCGTCAAAAAGAGTGACAGCACCCCTTGTTGATCAAATTGTAGCGCAGTTACTTCAGCTACCCGACGAGTCGCATATAAAATCAGCGCAACAAGCCGTTAGAAAAGAAAGAGTGCAAGAGTGGGAGGAAAGGGCAGAACGTATTAGAGAGAGTGCACCACCATGAATTCAGCGTATATTAGATGTGGCTTCGGAAAAAGGATCATCTGTGTGGCTCACAGCACTTCCCCTAAAAGAACAGGGATTCAACTTGAATAAGAGAGAATTTCGGGACGCCGTAAAGCTGCGCTATGATTGGCCAATCGACGACATCCCCTCTATATGTGTATGTGGGAATACATTCACGGTTGACCATGCCATGATCTGCAAACGTGGAGGCTTTGTAATTATGCGCCACAATGAGTTAAGAGATCTGGAGGCGGAACTCCTCAACATTGTCTGTAGTGACGTCCAAGTTGAGCCTGTCCTACAAGACATCTCGGGAGAGCAACTAAATGGAGGCTCCAACAAAGCACCTGATGCTAGACTCGACATTCGTGCGCGTGGGTTCTGGGAAAGTCAACAATCAGCTTTTTTTGATGTAAGGGTTTGTCATCCCAATGCTGATTCGTACAAGGACCTGGAGCTACGCCAAGTCTACAAGATACACGAAAATGAGAAGAAGCGCCTATATGCAAGGAGAGTCCTCGAAATAGAGCAAGGAACATTTACGCCACTCGTATTCACCACCACAGGCGGTATGGCCAAAGAATGTGTGAGATACCATAGTCGATTGGCAGAGTTGGTAGCCATAAAGAAAGGCGAAGATTATGCGACAACTATGAGTTGGATAAGTGCCAGAACCTCTTTCGCTTTATTGAGATCGGCACTTACCTGCTTGAGGGGTTCAAGGGCAAGGAAAATCATGTATGATATTAAGAACATTGATTTCAACATTGAGAACGCCGAGAGTGCTATCTCTCAAACATTTTAGATTGTACATATACAAAGTTTAGTTGTTTAGTTATTTAACGGAATATGTTACTTTAGTTATTTAGCTACTTAGCGGTAAATATTTTAATTATGTAGCGGTATTGTTCCAGAGTTTAATTGTTTTTAAAATTTAACTGTGCATATCAACAAACATTTAGACAATTTTTAAAATGATTTTATATATTGAAATTATGAACAAAGTTATTATTATTACTTAAATTATTATTATTATTATTATTGTTATTACTATTGTTATTATTATTATTGTTGTTGTTGTTGTTGTTGTTGTTGTTGTTGTTGTTGTTGTTGTTGTTGTTGTTGTTGTTGTTGTTGTTGTTGTTGTTGTTGTTGTCGTTGTCGTTGTCGTTGTCGTTGTCGTTGTCGTTGTCGTTGTCGTTGTCGTTGTCGTTGTCGTTGTCGTTGCCGTTGCCGTTGTCGTTGTCGTTGTCATTTTCATTATCATTATCATTATTATTACTATTATTGGTATTATTATTATTATTATTAGCATGACAAAATTACTGGATGCTGATTGGTTGAGAGGAGTACAATTATTTCATTAATTATTTATTTTCTGTAATCAGTGGCAAATACTGAAATTTCATTGGTTTACAGGAGTGCGATTTGAGCATTAATCGCACCTTTTCTGAGTTGTAATCGCACTCTTGTCTACAGCCAATGAAAATCAGTCTAGTATTTACAACTAGCCAATCAGCATTCAGGATACAAACTTTGAATTTTATTTTCTTTATTGCTGTAAAAATTTCAAAATGGGGGAATTCACAATTTTTGACCTTTTAATTTTTAAATCAGGCATCGAAAACCGTCAAAATTGAGGTTGGCAAAGAAATGCCGACCTAAATCTGACCTAGCTGGCACATTTCGGCATTTTTAAAAATCTGTTTCCTTGTCTTGGAGCACTAGTAATCACGTATTTACGAATCATTGAAAATTAATGTCACGAAGGCATTTCTTTTAGAGTCTTACCTAAATTATATATAGAATACCCGTTAATTCTTAAACCTTACACCAGAGTGTATCGAATTCTATAATCGCCGACTTTTTAACAGCTATCAGCACCAAAAAAATTCTACTTTGGCTGAATTAAGGGCGGCAAAAAATTGCCGACCTGGGAGGTTGATATGTCGGCGTTTATATATTTTCTGACGAAAATGACATACCTGTCCCAGCAGGAGACACCGAATACTAGAGACAACCAGCGGTTATATTTGAATCAGATTCAGATTAAACTGAGCTAAAGAACTTCACTATTTTAATTACAAAATTATCAATTTCCCAACATATATATGTTAGGTATGTTATTCTACGTAATATAAGCTCAATTTAAGGTAAAATTCAACCACAAACATTTCGCAAAACGTTTTAAAGTGTTCTTTATAAAACTAAACTGCCTTTTAATAATTAAATGGCTTTATCGATAAACTTTGAGTTTGTAATATAATGATTTCAAATTCTCGCATGCAAAAACTTTGCTTTCTTTCTTATTTAAAAATTTTCAATATAATAAAAAAGGGAATCAATATTAATAGTACACTGAAATTATATGCTGTCTTGTTTAGTAATTTCATATACGCAAAGAATCAAAGGCCGTCGGGTTTTAAAGCAATTATAAAATCAATATTTAAAACAACCTTACCTTCGTTAACGTTGGCTCCCTTCTTTTAGCCGATTCATTCGCCCTTTCTTTCTGAGAAAGCTTTCGAAATTTATAAAATCTTGCAAAAATGCGAGCAAAAATCTCAAGAAATTGATCAATCATCAAATCAAGAAATGTTTGCTATTTCGCTGTCGTCATGCAGTCGTTATAATGCAAACATTAAATTGGACCAATCAGTGTTCGCTAATCATGATAGTCCGCCACATTCTTGAGATTAGTGAGGATGACCACCCACTCCAACATCGTTGGTCACCCACGCCCGCGATAATTGATGAACTTTAGACTTCGCTAATGCATTCGTTTCCCGGGTGTAAATAGCCGGGGGGGATTAGTACCCTCGCACGGCGCTTCGCGTCGTCGGCTCGGGGATTAATGCGATAATCATACTCGTGATTAACAAATCAACCTCCCGCTACGCGGTCGGTTGATTTTGTAATCACTTGCATGATTATGGCATTTATTATTAGCATGACAAAATTACTGGATCCTGATTGGTTGAGAGGAGTACAATTATTTCATTAATTATTTATCTTCTGTAATCAGTGGCAAATACTGCAATTTCATTGGTTGACAGGAGTGCGATTTGAGCATTAATCGCACCTTTTCTGAGCTGTAATCGCACTCTTGTCTACAGCCAATGAAAATCAGTCTAGTATTTACACTAGCCAATCAGCATTCAGGATACAAACTTTGAATTTTATTTTCTTTATTGCTGTAAAAAAATTCAAAATGGAGGAATTCACAAATTTTGACCTTTTAATTTTTAAATCAGCCCTCGAAAACCGTCAAAATTGAGGTCGGAAAAAAAATGCCGACCTAAACCTGACCTAGCTCGGTACATCTCGGCATTTTTTAAAATCTGTTTCCATGTCTTGTAGCACTAGTAGCCTGCACTAGTAATCACGTATTTACGAATCATTGAAAAGTATAAATGTCAGGAAGCCTTTTCTTTTAGAGTTTTACCTAAATTATATCATAAATATACCCGTTAATTCTTAAACCTTACACCAAAGTACATCGAATTCTATAATCGCTGACTTTTTAACAGCTATAAGCACCAAAAAAGATTATTACTTTGGCTGAATTAAGGTGGGCAAAACATTGCCGACATGGGAGGTTGATAGGTCGGCATTTACTGTAGGTCGGCATTGCCGAATGCAGATCTCGTTTTCGAGGGTTGTTAAATTATATATTTTCTGACGAAAATAACCTACCTGTTCATCCAGCAGAAGACACCGAACTAAACACAACCAGGAGTTATATTTCCATCCAGTTCAGATGATTAATTGAATTAAAGAACTTCACTACTTTGAACACGTTATAAACATACAAACATGGCTTCCCAATTGTGTGTTGAATAATTCAAACAAATGTTGTCATGTGATTATACCGGAAATAATGCCCGGAAGTTAATAATATGTTAATTTGATTATATATGATAAACAATAATTCAAAATTGTACTATTTCACTAAGAATTGTCGTGACAAAAATTTAATAATTTATATTGAACTTCAACAAATTGTATTTTTCTGCTTTTCCCCCTTAAACAGTTTGATTACAGAAGATAAATAATTAATAAGTAATAGAACGAATTAAAGTCGTACTATTAATGCCATAATCATACTCGTGATTAACAAATCAACCTCCCGCTACGCGGTCGGTTGATTTTGTAATCACTCGTATGATTATGGCATTAATAGCACTCCTATTCGTTCTATTACCATCATTAATTATTTATCTTCTGTAATCAGTGGCAAATACTGCAATTTCATTGGTTTACAGGAGTGCGATTTGAGCATTAATTGCACCTTTTCTGAGCTGTAATCGCACTCTTGCCTACAACCAATGAAAATCAGTCTAGTATTTAGAACTAGCCAATCAGCATTCAGGGTACAAACTTTGAATTTTATTTTCTTTATTGCTGTAAAAAATTCAAAATGGAGGAATTCACAAATTTTGAAAATGTTGACCTATTAATTTTTAAATCAGCCCTCGAAAACCGTCAAAATTGAGGTCGGAAAAAAATGCCGACCTAAATCTGACTTAGCTCGGCACATCTCGGCATTTTTTAAAATCTGTTTCCATGTTTTGGAGCACTAGTAGCCTGCACTAGTAATCACGTATTTACGAATCATTGAAAAGTATAAATGTCACGAAGGCTTTTCTTTTAGAGTCTTACCTAAATTATATCATAATACCCGTTCATTCTTAAACCTTACACCAAAGTGTATCGAATTCTATAATCGCTGACTTTTTAACAGCTATCAGCACCAAAAAGGATTGTTACTTTGGCTGAATTAAGGTCCTGGGAGGTTGTAGGTCGGCATTTAGGTCGGCATTGGCGAATGCCGACCTCGTTTTCGAGGGCTGTTAAATTATATATTTTCTGACGAAAATGACCTACCTGTTCTTCCAGCAGAACAGAATTGATTAAAATGAACTAAAACATGGCTTCCCAATTGTGTGTTGAATAATTCAAACAATGTTGTCATGTGATTATACCGGAAATAATACCCGGAAGTTAATAACATGTTAATTTGATTATGATAAATTTAATTCAAAATTGTACTATTTCACTAAGAATTGTCGTGACAAAAATTTAATAATTATATTGAATTTCAACCAATTGTATTTTTGTGCTTTTCCCCCTTAAACAGTTTGATTACAGAAGATAAATAATTAATAAGTAATAGAACGAATTAAGTCGTACTATTAATTCCATTATCATACTCGTGATTAACAAATCAACCTCCCGCTACGCGGTCGGTTGATTTTGTAATCACTCGTATGATTATGGCATTGATAGCACTCCTATTCGTTCTATTACCATCATTAATTGTACTGCAGTACAATTAATGATTTTCCCAAAACAAACAAAATGGCGGAAACGTATTTTAAACACAAGCGTGAAATGAAATTGTCGTGGAGGAACTAGATGAAAATACGAATAAAAGCAAATTTTGCTTTAACAAAAGAACTAAATGAAAATACAAACAAAAAGCATCACATTTTGGATGAAAGTCTGGCAGGACTGGGCTTTGGCGACTGGCGAGAGAATATGATGTTGGCATTGAGAAGTACGTATCCAATTTTGTCATGCTAATAATATAGTAATCATGTAATGTTGCTCGTACAATTAGGGATTAATAGTACTCGTGATGTTTGGAAATTTGCCAAATTGGACTCTCCCGGGCGGCTCGTCCAATTTTGGCAAAATTTCCAAACATCACTCGTACTATTAATCCCTAATTGTACTCGCCATCGCATGATTACCTATACTAATAGCACTCCTATTCGTTCTATTACCATCATTAATTGTACTGCAGTACAATTAATGATTTTCCCAGAACAAATAAAATGGCGGAAAGGTATTTTAAACACAAATGCGAAATGAAATTGCCGTGGAGGACCTAGATGAAAATAAGAAGGAAAGCACCAAATTTTGCTTGAACGAAAGAACTAAATGAAAATACAAACAAAAGCACCAAATTTTGGTTGAAAGTCTGGCAGGACTGGACTTTGGCGAGAGAATATGATGTTGACATTGAGAAGTACGTATCCCAGTATCCCACGACGGCTCGTCCAATTTTGGCAAAATTTCCAAACATCACTCGTATTGTTAATCCCTAATTGTACTCGCCATCGCTTGATTACCTATACTTAGGCTAATATTATTTTTTCCCCCTCAAACATAGCGAAAAACTCCAGGTTGGCATTCAATTCCCCATGGTCATCGGTTTATTCTAAACTTCCTAAGAACATATTTAAATTCAGTCTACGTTACATCGACAATTTCTGTCTACTAGGAAAAACCTAGTTAAATGGGGTATGTCATCACCTGCCGACTGTTCGTTCTGCTTCTGCCCTGAATTACTTTTGCATGTATAAACTCTGGATGTAAGACATATCTAGACGAATGGAGATATACGTGGCGACATAATTCAGTTTTGAATCTCATTGTGTCCAGCCTTCTCGACGTCGAAAGATCCAAAATGTATGTAGATCTGTCTGGATTTATTAGCCCATTTGTCATCTTCATGGTGACGAGTTACGACCCGACCTTCTATTGACAATTGAAAATAAGACATTCTAGAATTAACTGTTGGATTCGAAACAAACCTAGCCTGCGAACAGGCTCACTGGGAGAAAGGTGAGCCTGCACGGAACCATGCGTTTTATTCAATCATCCCCTTTTCGCATCTGCTAAACGCGAACCAATCAGCGTCGACTGCAATAAATAAACTGTCAACTGTCAAATTGACGCAAGGCGTGTACATTGTGCAACGAAGAAATAATATATACATAATATATATATGAACAATAATACAAAGCATTAGCGGGCCGCACAAAATATTACTCGGAAAAATATAGAATTCTTCAAATATTAAATAGATATCAATACACATACAAATATAAAGCCGAATAAAATACTACCATTGGCATTGAATCAATGTACAGTAATACTTGTACTACGTGCGACTTAAAGAACAATGTTCTGAATATTTGAAGCTATTACTAAAATACGGTCAGATAGATTGGGATTTGGAATACCGAATACGTCTAAAATTTTACTAACTGTGGTCTAAATAAATGATAAATGAGCATGTATTTATTAATTTCTTCGAAATCACGAGTGTGCCAATAGTGGAAGCATAGTGGTGGAACCGTATCGACGACGAAATTGTCAGCAGTTTATACAGTAAATAGTACAGCGTTTAATGTACGATATATATATATATTTATATCTAAATGACATGCCAGCGAGGATCAACAATATAATTATTCGTACATATTTGGGTATCTTTTGTATACCTTCGCTTGCTGACTTGCTCACTAATGAGAATAATCCGTGAAGCCACGACGACCTCAAAATGTACTATACTATAGTCTGATGTCAATCCGAAGACGAAGTTCAGAATACGGTTATAGTTTCGTATATTGGATTTAAGCGATAGATTCAAGTCATTTATGATAGACTTTTTGCTGTGATGCTTTGCTATTGCTTTTGGTTTCTATTTCTAGTTTTATTTGTTCGATAGTCTTATAATATATAATATTAAAATGAATAAAGTTCAAATTCTTCAAAATGCTGTTGTTGACATTTGCTATTTTTAGTAATTTTGTCAACGAGTGTAAGCCAATCAGAAGCCTGCGTTTCTATACGAACGCCACTACCAAGAAAACCTATAGTTCCGTGCAGGCCCTCTATTCTTCGCGCCGCCCGTAACCCAGGGCCTGTTCGCAGGCTAAAACAAACCAGAAAACTAACTCAGATCGAAAACATGAAAAATATTTAACTCTAATTACCGATCAAGAAAATATATATGATGAAGTTAAGTTTGTTAATGTATTTATAAGCTCGTTAGGTGTATTTGGTGAATCGATGAATACTTTATTTGATATGCTTCATGATCTGAAATACAACGAACAACGTATTAAATTAGTAAAAAAGAAAATAATTGCTACTTGTATTCGCACATCTTATTATACATTTGTAGACGAAGCAAAGACTGGAACAACCCGGAACTTTTAATGACTTATAACTAAATTTAAAATATTTTCACCTGTATATATATATTTTAGTTTTATACATATTCAATTCAAGTGGACATCGATAAGCTCCCTTTTATCAAGTGAGGTTTATCAATGTATATATAGTGGCTTGTGATGATACTCTGAGTGAACATCCACACCGGGCAGGCTTGAAAAATATGCCTGGCCACGGTGGGAATCGAACCTATGACCTTTGGAATACTAGCGCAATGCTCTTAGTGCCAACTGAGCTACGCGATCAGGTCGGTTCGAGTATGTGATATTTCGGAACTGAGTCTAGTTCCATCGATATCAGTGTAATCTAATAATCATGATATTTTCTATTTTGCTGTGTTGGTATAATGTACTCAAATGAATAAGATGCTTGTGTGATGTTATTCTGAGTGTATATCCACACCGCGGAGGCTTGAAAAATCTGCCTGGCCACGGTAGGATTCGAACCTACGACCCGTACTGAGCTGGCTCGGTCGGCAGGTCGGTTCGAGTATGTGATATTTCGGAACTGAGTCTAGTTCCTTCGATATTAGTGTAATCTATTATTATTAGAATGTAGCACGTTTATGTAAATGTTGAACGAAGTTGATCTTGATAAAAACATCAAAACTTTTGCGTTAAGAAAATAATGTCCGTCGCCATCAGAACAACGTACTACATATTTCAGTGTTGTAGAAACAAGGATTGGACCGATCCGGACTTGTTGAACATTTAAGAATGAGCTTTCTCTTACTTTTATACAGAACCTGTAATATAGTTTATCAATAGTTCAGGTAGTCACTAATTATAAATTACCTTAAGAGCGGTTGTCTGTAATAGTCAGGTAAGACGTGTAAAATGAGAAAATTCAAAATCCTTGAAACTTTGTCAGAATATAGGCCTATATGAAGTATTAATGTTGTGAAAGTTTTATTTCGATCGGATAAATATTGAAGGAGAGAGACGTCGAAATTGGTTTTCCCAGGCCACGTTCGATTTTTAGAGGTCATTATACGGCACTACCAAAATCGCTCTATTTTGCGCGTTAATGGGAATATTTCACAAAATATGATCTCGTTTTATAAATTAGAGTTATTTATTGAGCAGCAGACGAAATTTCGAGACATTTCTGTAAAAAGTGAATATTTTACAGATTTTCTTAATGTTTATTATTTTCGAACCTCGTTATATGCCATATTAGGCAGCGAATATCTCCATTGTTACATCGATTCAGGCAAAAAATTCATAACCAGATTAACGAAATATGTTTTCGCTTGCTATTGATCAAATAAAATTTTGGGGCAACTTAGAATTGAATTTTTGACGAATTTTTTGGTAACCCTATTTCACCGGAATAACCGTATGTTAATATAATCAGCGTCGAGTCATGTAGTTCAATAAATAACCAAAGAGCTCGTCAAAAGCGTTTATTTTTTCGAGTAAGCAAGCCTAGGCCTATAAAACTACTTTAGCTAAAGCTGTACGATTGGCTGAAAGCATTTAGGTCTAAATAACACTGTTTACAGTCGCTTATCGTTCAGCTAATGCCCGATAGCCGGTGCCGCTGATTTGGCAGATTTGGTTTCAATTATATTTTATCAGGGATATGCCGCGATAAGTATAGCGAGTTTATTTTCTCTCCCCCTCCCATAAACTCGTGTTCTCACATAAATAGTGCACACGCTTTTTGTAAAAAACATAGCCATTTGCAAGGTCATACGATGCAAACGTCGCATTGTTTTGATGTTTTTTAGTCGTATTTCCGGTTGGGTTAGCTCACGCGATTGTCTGAACAAAAATATAGACTATAGCCATACCTTTCGCCAAAAATAACTTCAGCCCCTTCAAACATATCGTCTTTGTAATAGTCTTGTTCGAATCCCCAGCAACAACACTATTTAGAGTGTTATTTGCATGCCTGTATCTTCAAATTTGCATTTTTTTCACGGCATTTCCATTTCTTGTCCAGCTGTGAGCTCGAGGCTCGAAGTAATTTGATAGTATACGATCGCATTTGACTTTCAAACTCCCATAAATCAGTACAATGTTAATAATGACTATAACTATCGTTCGGAATTAGTTGATCTTTTATTTGTGAATCGAATGGTGGTATTTCTGTCTTCATAGCATGTACTGAACCGAAGATTTGAAATTTCTAGACGTCAACCTCTCGAGGACGACCTCGCAAAGAGTTTTAATTTAATTAATATTAAAGCTGCATGGATTCTTTCACCGTGATGTCATGCCAAAAGGTGTCTTTTCTATTTTTAAAAAAGATCCCGGCTCTATTGATTTGTGATTTGGTAATATTAATTACAGTTGTATTTTTGATTATTTTGTTAGTGCTCAATAAGTTTGAATTTGTTCTGAGAAAACAGTCAAACTTCAGACCAAACTTCTACGCAGTTACTTATTTAGTAGTTTTATAATTAACTGCCCATCACTTTTAAAACAGAAAGAAGATAAAGACAACGTGTACGGGTGAGTTATCCATGAAATAAATAGTTGGTTTACAAAATGAATTCCGTCTTTGTGGATAAAAATTAGTTATAAATAATCTCTCCTGTATGTGTTAAATGCTACATGTAGGGATTTCCCTCGGTATATTCCTTCTCTTTTGTATGGCTGTTTGTGATTACTCGTCTCTTGTCACTGGGTCATTTGGTGCCAGCAACTCTAATCCAGCTGATTCAGAATGCGTTCTTCGAATGATTGTGATAAAAGAAATCAAGACACACCTGAGGTCGCACGACGTTAGCTTGGATTCCAGTTTGAGAACAGAGTCTTGTCTTCCACCTGCACGAGCCGATTAGTTCATTATTTTTTATCTGACATATACTTTTGATCCAATTTCAATTAAATTTATCCAACCATTTCTGGATGATACATTTACAACAGGCAGTACTCAGGCCAAAGAAAAGTCAAGAAAGGCAGGCCAACTTTCCCAGAGGGTGGCCCGGAATGGTGGAATTTTGCAACGTGTTAAATATTAAGGAATATTCTGAAAATTGAGGTCGAAAAAACTCTGAAAAGTATTTTGAACCCCCCCTCCCCCCCAATTATCGCAAAATTAATTTATATAATTAGACTGAATTCCTTATCATCATTTTGAAATATCCCTGTTACAAATAGAGTATTACTGCCAGGACGTGCCAAGCGATATCTGGTTGGGGGGGGGGGATATTGAACTTAAAAAATTTGGGGCCCTTCCTTTTACGGGGCCCCCTCAAAATGTTTTCTGGTAAGCAAAAATGTTACAGTAAAATGTAAAGGGTGGGAGGGGGGTTGGGTGGGTGGGGCGACGTTTTTTGGGAAAAACGTTCCAAAAATTATTTTTGCGATAATGGGGGGTTCAAAATACTTTTCAGACCTTTTTCGACCTCAATTTCAGAACACGTTGCGCAATTCCAGCATTCCGGGGCCCCCTCTGTGAAAGTTGGGCCCCCTTTCAAGTTGACTTTTTTGGCCTGAGAACTGCCTGAGTGTTCTAGATGTATCATCCAGAAATGGTTGGATAAATGTAATTGAAATTGGACCAAAAGTATATATGTCAGATAACGCGTAACCACAAACAGCCATATAAAAGAGAAGAAATATACCTGGGGAAATCCCTACAGGTAGCTTAACACAAACAGGAGAGATTATTTATAACTCATTAATTTTATTCACAAAGACGGAATTCATTTTGTAAACCAACTATTTATTTCATGGATAACTCACACGTACACGTTGTCTTTATCTTCTTGCTGTTTTAAAAGTGATGGCCAGTTAAAACTACTAAATAAGTAACAGTGCGTAGAAGTTTGGTCTGAAGTTTGACCAAAGTTATTGAGCAACAACAAAATAATCAAATATACAAGACATACAACTGTAGTAAATATTACCAAATCATAAATCAACAGCGGGTCTTTTTTAAAAATAGAAAAGACACCTTTTGGCATGACATCACGGTGAAAGAATCCAGCTTTAATATTAATTAAATTAATTACTGTAAGTAAACGAATTACAATTTCAACGTAAACTGACCGATGTTTTTGACAAAAAGCGCGTGCACTATTTATGTTCGAAAAGTTATAAGCACGACGAGTCGTGAAAGAACAGATGTTTATGGGAAGGGGAGAGAAAATACACTTGCTATACTTATCGCGGCATATCCCCGATAAAATATAATTAAAACCAAATCCGCCAAATCAGCGGCGCCGGCTATACAATATATTATAGGCATTACCTGAACAATAAGCGACTATAAACAGTGTGATTTATACCTAAATGCTTTCTGCCAATCGTACAACTTTAGCTAAGGTAGTTTTATAGGCATAGGCTTGTTTACTCGAAGAAGTAAACGCTTTTGACGAGCTCTTTGGTTATTTATAGAACTACATGACTCGACGTTGATTACATAACATACGGTTATTCGGGTCAAATAGGGGTTACGAAAAAATTCGTCAAAAATTCAATTCTACGTTGCCCCAAAATTTTATTTGATCAGTAGCAAGGGAAAACATATTTCTTTGACCTGTTTATGAATTTTTGTCTGAATCGATGTAACAATGGAGATATTTGCTGCCTAATATGGCATATAATAAAGAGGTTCAAAAATAAAAAACATTAAGAAAATCTGTAAAATATTCACTTTTAACAGAAATGTCTCTAAATTTCGTCTGCTACTCAATAAAGAACTCTAATTTATAAAACGAAATCATATTTTGTGAAATATTCCCATTATCGTGCAAAATAGAGCGATTTTGGTAGTGCCGTAAAATGACCTCTAAAAACCGAAAGTGGCCTGGGAAAACCAATTTCGACGTCTCTCTCCTTCAATATTTATCCAATCGAAATAAAACTTTCACAACATTAATACTTCATATAGGCCTACATTCTGACAAAGTTTGAAAGATTTTGAATTTTTTCATTTTACACGTCTTACCTGACTATTACAGACAACCGCTCTTAAATAGTGACTAATTTATAATTGCATATACATAAAATGTCAAAATAAAGTTTCCATTGTATTACAGTACTGTATTGACGGCTGGGTAGAATGTATTATTATAGTGTTTTAAAACAGTAGCCTACTATATTGACGGCTGGGTAGAATGTATTATTATTATATTACAGTATCGGTATTGACGGCTGGGTGGAATGAGGTTTTGGCGTTGTTCCCATTGATTTCATCTGTTTGCACGATTTAATTCTTGTATGGCGACATTCTGTATTTATGAACAATTTGCCGACTTTTCCGAGAAATTACATTATTAGCTCTTCGTGTTTATCCCGTTAACGTTTCTCGTTCAATAAAGGTCAGTAATCAACTTATCGGCGGTGAAAGAGAAACAAAAACTGAATATTAGTGATTTAGCGAGTACCTTAATTCAATGCTTCTGATAAAAACGGCTAGATATATTTTGGAAAAAATTAAAAATGAGCAACACGACGAAACCTACGACGTAACATCTTTCATGGCAAATCCAGCAGCCCAGATACTGAAAAATTTGGCAAATTAGTATCACCGGAGTTTTTGACAGCATCTTAAACAGTTTCTCCACAACATTGGCATCAAAATTTTATGAAAAGTTTCTATTGCTTTTTCTCCTTCGCTCGGAAAAGCATCAGCGTGACATCACTGAGTACATGTTAGTAACATGTACTCAGTTACGTTGTTAGAAGAATTTCAAAGTCAATATTTTGTGTAAAATTGTTTACTATATTATCTTCTACTTACATTGTGCATGTATTATAAAACAAATAGAAAACTCGTCTCGTGCTTATATTATGGTGTGATGCATGCACTCGGGTAATATTAGGCGCATACTCGAGAAGCGTATAAAACACTCCGCTACGCCTCGTGTTTTTATTCT